AGATAGATAGATAGATAGATAGATAGATAGATAGATAGATAGATAGATAGATAGATAGATAGATAGATAGATAGATATAGATAGATAGATAGATAGATATACTGTATACACACACACATTATACGCATACAATTACTGGTTTGTGGTGGTCATCGGAAATTCCGGGTAAATGTCAGGATTTTCCCGAACGGCCGGTTTGTCTCATGTCTGGTCAAAGCATGCGATACCCGCCCCCTAACCCAGTCGCCGATCAAGTTCCATAGCATCGCACCCATCATTGCAATATGAATACCCACAGGAATACTTGTTACCTGTTGTAGTAATTGCTCACGGCCAATTTGTTTGAGTGTATGTTTGGAATGACCCCACTGCATTTTATTTACCTGCTAAAAGTCTCGTCACTTAAGTATTCACAAAACATGATAGAGGATTTATTTGCAGAAAGTATATTTGTTTTTGTAAACTGCTTTAAAGTTCAGTTTGAACATAAACATTGCGCTTCGAGAGTGAAAAACATTGTACCCGAATGAAGCATTGCATTTAGAATAAAAAGTGTACTAAAAAAAATGTTCCAAAGACATTTTCTGAAGATAAAATGAAAATGGAATGCTTTCATCACATGTGAAAATCAATAGTGAACTCTAATGTATTTTTGATTTGCAACTGTTCTGGATGGACATTTTGAGACAGTTTCTCATGTATGGAAGCTCGCCATCATCTTCTAGACCCTCCTGCTAAGTTTAATTTCACATAACTTACAAGACACTGAAAATTATTGACTGTCACTAAGTGGAAAAGGGACAAAAAAAAAAACCCAACTCTGCCTGGATCACGGATGTGATGTGCTGCTGTTTCTGAAGGAAAAAAAGCACCAAGTATTCAAACACCAAGTATGCCTGTGAGTATAATATCTATTATACTCACAGGAATATTTGGTGTCTTTATTTCATGCGGCACCTGTTGGAGCAATTTTCAGCGACACTTTTTTGTCACCTACAGTAATCACAGGCTGATGTCAAAGCTAAGGCTCTGCCTACACAACAAATTACAGTATATATAGACCCAAGTGTTCATTGAAAAAAAAGTACACGTAAAGTTATTCTACCCCACTGTGCACAATTTGCCGATCAACAAATGGGTATGGACATAGGAAAATAAAATGTGCTCCAGTAATTGAAATAAAATATATTGCATGTTAAATAAAAACAAAAAAATGCACCAGAATAAATGTATTAGAAGAAAGCCACCTATTGAAGATAAAATGCAAACAAATGCATAAATAACTGAGTTATATTCTCTAAGACTAAACTGTGACAATTTATTTTTCTTGTTCTGATTTACAGCAGTTCTTGATGGACATGTTGAAAGAAAATTCAAGTGCGGCCACATGTGTGAGCTCTCCATCAGACCAGCCTGCAGTAACCCCCACTCAGGCTATGCCAATGCCAGTAAGACATTTCACTTCGTGATTTGGAGGGCAGTTATATTACCAACAGTTATTCATTTTTTGTTCCTTTGTCAATGGGAAAGTGCATAGAGATGGGACCCGAGACTGAATCAGAGAAATGGAAATCACAAGCCAGAAGCTCACCAGAACAGAAGATGACGTGTGGCCGGGCAGACACTCTTCGAAGTTGCAGACAGTGCAGAGATGGCTAGAATGAAAGACTGGAAAATTCAGCCTGATGTCTGTCTCTGTTTGTTTTACCATATTTTCCGCACTATAAGGCACACATAAACACATTCAATTTTCTCAAAAGCCGAGAGTGCACCTTATTATGCAATGCACCTTATACATGGATCAATATTTTTATTTCTTGGATAGAGTACTTTAAATATTCTGTAAAGTGCTTTTTTACAGCTGCAGTGATTGTAAAACTCTCTATAAATAAAGCTGTAATGTATTCCCTTTACGTAGCTCCATCTAGTTTACCCATAATGTAATCGCAGCCACTATTGCAGCTTCTGTTCTATGCACTTTATAAAGCGGTGCGCTCTATATATGAAAACAGTTTTAAAATAGGCCATTCATAGAAGGTGCACCTTATACATCCAAGCGCCTTATAGTACGGAAAATACGGTACATTTAACATAAAAAGTTGCAATGTACAATTTGTTCTTTTTATCCCTCCAAAAAAACTTCCCATGTAAAGACAGTTACAGATATTAAATACTTCATGCTGCTGTAATTTTAAAAATCCTTTAGAGCTATCAATAAAGCCTTGTTTTATTTAGGTTATTCCTTGTTTATTGTGGTGAATTGGTTCTGGATACCCCACCACCACCCCCCATGAAAAGTGAAAAATTGCAAACTAGGACTCTTCCAAACGGTTGCGCCACTGCAATTCTGGCTTTGGTTGTCAAATTTGTAACCAAGTCTTTTTTGTACTGCTACTTGCTAAAGAAGGGTAGTGCAGATTGTTTTTCGCCTCCGACTTGGCTAGCCTTCGTCATCAGTCTAATTTGGGTAAATTACCCTGAACGATGGGTCGCTATGTGTGAACCAAACTAGATGGGCCTCATAATTCTTATAATCACAACTCCCACTACTAGCAATTCAAAGTTCTTGGCCTTTTTGTTCTGAAAAGCACAATTGGAAACCTGACAGGTAAAGAAACAACCCGACTGTTAGCTGCTATTCCTCAAATGCATTTGGCCACATCGAAAATCAAAATGTTTTGATGGTTCGTCAGTTTCTAACATTCACTGTAATAAAGTGGCTGGAGTGAGGCGGTTTGGTGTTTTGTTTTGTTTTTTCTAAGGTTTTCTCCTGCTTTTGAAAAAAATCCTCACAGCACACAGATGATGCTGGTGTAGAAAAGTATGTCATAGCCAGTTTGAATAAATGAGGGAAATTATATTTTTGTGGTTGCCAATACTGCAGGAGATCTTTGTGTCTGTTGATGTTCGGTTTTGACAAGTAATGCTGAACTTCAATTGTAGCCTTCACTGTCACATATGTCGATGGGATTTTACTCTTTGGCATTGATTTGTCCAATCGCTGCCTGAGTTTGCTTCCTCAGAGAGGAAAACGGTCTGTAAGCCAGAATATCAAACAGAAATATTCATGTAGCCAGTGGAGTGAAAACACCTGCATCGCGTATTGCTGCACCTTTTATGGTTCAAATAACACGCGGTGGTTGCATGGTCTCTCTCTGTGCCTGTGTGGGTTTTCTCCGGGTAGTCCGGTTTCTTCCCACATTCCATAGAAACATGCATGAGTGGCAGGTTGGATGAACGCTCCAGATCGCCCCTTGATATGATTGTGAGCGCAAAAGGTTGTTCTTCTATGTCTGGCCCACAATTGGCTGGCTCCCAGTTCAGGGTGTCCCCCGCCGACTGCCCAAAGACAGCTGGGATAGGCTCCAGCAGCACCCGCGACCCTTGTGACGATGAAGCGAATGGGTGAGACGCAGTCTAATCGCCAAACCAGCGATCCACTTCCTGAATCAATCACATGGTAGGGTGCTTCAGCAAGGTTCAAACATCGTTGCCATTTAAACGCGCTCCGCTTTGCGGCTGCACGAATGACTCGACACACACTTCGAAGTCTCTGTTAATTACACCAGGTACTACGGACAATTAACATACCAGGCATGTTATTATTGACGGTAGAGGAAATTGGAGTACCCAGAGAAAACCCACTCCGGTGCGGGGAGAACATGCAAACTCCACTCAGGAAATCCGGGGCCCAGATCTGAGCCCAGCACTTGAGAACTGTATGGCAGATAGATGTACTAACTAACATCAGAAATGTAGACATTTATTTACAAATACATTTTGCATAGAAATTTAAAATTGCAACATAAAATGTATGAGACATTAAAACAAATTAGGGAAATATGCACAATTTTGTAAATATTAAGCACAATATCCATTGCCAGAATCAAGCTGGCCAGCTGTTGTTTTCATGTTGATCAAATAAATATCATGATTTGTGTATACTTTATTCCAACAGGCATGACCTGTGCACAACCTCTACTGGTACACTCATCATCATCATCATCACCATCATCGCCACTATCTAAATGGTTTACCTATGAACATATGTGTGCTTGAAATTAATATCAAGGCTTTCTTCATGCATTGGACATTCATGAATGTGATCATATTTCTATTACAGTACTGACACATGATATGAAGAAAACATATGTCGCCAACTCTGCGAATACAGGGTGGGGTACGTTGTGTTTCAGTACACAGCCGCCTCATTATCACAGACTTAGAGTTATTGCTGCTGTTTCGAATACAAAAGCTGTTAGTCCACAATTATTGACATTTTTCATCTATTAAAAATGGGTGAAAATGGTAAAAAGCATGAATATAATTCGCATGTTCTTTTCTGTTTTATGCATGTACGTATTTCGTTAAATGTGAGTCATTCTGCCAACGAGTGGATTCCCTTGAAGTAAATTTTCTCTTAAGTCAAAATATATTTCGTGTCAATGGTTTGTTCTGCATTGGTAATCAACGGTGCTCAGAGGGGACGCTTGAGGCTCCGTCAGCTATCGAAACCTCCTGCTGCTCAGTCAGATAGTCGCTCCATCGTCATCCTCGTGGGAGCTGTGGAGTCATCGCAAGCAGTCGCTCAATGCACAGTTTCTTCTCAAATGACTAAATTCAACATGTAAAAAAAAAAAAAAAAAAAAAAAAGATGGAAATAGACAGCTTTGACCCCAAAGTCCCCACAGCCGGAAGCCTGGCAAGCTGACCTCATTCCTTCACTCTTCCTCTGGCACGTATGTTGACATCATCCGTCGATTTCTAAATTGGTGAAAAACTGCTGATCTCTTTCGGATGATGTCATGTGGAGCTATCTAAGAATTTGCTGTACAAAGCATCTTATAAAACATTATTATTATTATTATTTTACATTGTTGTAGCATCATTATTGACAAAAGAAAGAAAATGGGGGGAAATTAACAGACTTAGAAAAATACAGTGCACTGACATTTCCAACATTTAAAGTCAACACTACGAATAAACTTTGTACTCAAGAGAATAATGTTACTTGCATTTAATCCAAACGGATGGACAAATCCTCTACCATAGGGAGAAGATCCCAGGTTACACATACTTTGTTTCCCGCTATCCTGGCCTGCGCCACCCGTATTCGACGTTCACACACTTTCTGTCACTTCCCGACTCCCCTTTTCCGCCCTGAGGGACTCAAAGCATAAATTTAGGGAAACGCGTATTGAGAATGAGAAGGACAATGACGGTACGTGATTTGTTGTTGTCGTTGTTTCCACAGTGGTTTTGATTAAATGAACTCCGCCCCATAGTACATTTTACAACGATAGATGCGTCGGTATGGCTGGGAAAAATAAGTTGACAAACTCGGTTGTGTCGAATACAGCATTCGGTTGAATCAGAAACGCATGTCTCAAAACTGTTTTTAATCATTTTAAAATTTATATTTGTGGCACATGGAACCGATGTTGGGCCAATTTTGTGTCTTTGCACCGACATTTGTAGCTGCGGACGCTCCCTTCCGGCAACTTGTTCATGCAGATGAAGATACCAAGGCTTTGTGGTCCCTTGAGACAGAAAAGGGAGAAAAATAAGATTTTATAAATTGCTGCAAAGGGGAGCTGGCCAAGACTGAAGACTTGAACGCGGCAATGTGACCTGCGTGATTACTTGCCGGTGGCTGCTTGATACTCTTCGAGCTAACAATACAGCTTTAAATTGGTGTTTTGAAGTCAATTAACACTGAACAAACTTAATCTTTGTCACAGTATGCCGCATCACTTGATTTTCCACTGAATTGCCATGACCGCTTGGTGCGTGTTTAAAGCCTCTTCAGCTAACTTAGCTTAGCATAGCTTCCTGTCTTTCTCATCGCGAAACGCTGAGCGGTGATGAATGTGAGTGTAAAGTGATGCGATGATGGTGGGAAATAAAGAACAAATAAAGAACAGGCAAGCATGGCAGACGCGGCCGTTTCTCCTCGCATCAACTGTGAGCCAACAGAGCAGAGGCACTTGAGCCAGCGAGACAGAATGCGCACCAGCAGACAATAGCTTATACGAAAATTAATATGAACATATTGTCTACTTTTAAGTGATATTAGTGGTAATATATATCAACCTTGGTAAAACGTTTTTTGGAGGTGGATGCTCATCACTGTCAAACATTTTACGGAAAAAACAAAACAAAAAAATGGACCGGGCAGTTACGCGCAGGGGTGTTGTTTACCCAAGTAATCGATGGAATAGTCGATAGGATAAATCGATTCGTTTGTGTCGGCCCGATGGATCCGAGTAATGCCGTGTTTGAATTGCGTTTCAATCACCTCCCAGATGCATCTCGTGGCGGGCTAACTCAAGTGATCTGACAGGGGAGGTCAGCGTGGTTAAAAGAGCAGCAACGGCGGGTGATTTGGTTTGTGCAGAGCGATGCCTTGCAACAGTGAGGTGAAGCGCACAGCAACACGCACAGAAAGAAGGAATGTGGCGCTGACAGGAATGGGAATGCAAGATGAAATAATGAAAGTGTGGACAGATAGCGGCGTAGGCAAAGCTGTATCCTCCATTTTGGCGGAACTGGGCTGTCTGTTTGGTTTAAGAAATAACAGGAGGGTTCTTGATCAGTACTTTTGGCCCTGTACTGGAGACCTTCACGATTAGAATTTCTCATCAGGGATGACTGTGTTGAAGGGGTGGTCCCAGAATGCGGTGCTGATTCCAAAACCTGGAGAGACAAACACTTGGATTAAAGCACTGGTTCTTTTTCCACTTAGTATCACTAGCTAGATCTCTGTTTTCTAAAATAAGCAGTTGATTTCAAGACAGAATCCGTGACGTATTTTTTTAATTCATGTCTCTCAAATAATGTCATTCCTTCTTTGTGAAAAACATTCTTCCTTTTTCAAAAAGAGGTGACTCCTCAATCCTCAATATTTATAGGCCAATATGGAAGTTCCATTCTCGCAAAAGTCCTTGAAAAATTAGTTTCCGAACAACTTGAAAACTGATTTGAAGTTTAGGGCATTTCATCAAGTTAGAAATCTGGCTTTCGAAAGGTACGTAGCACAATAACTGCCTCTATGCAGTTAGTTATGAACATTATTAAGGCTCTGGATTGTAAAATGGAAAACAGTTACCGGTACCTTCAATTCTACCAAAGACTGAAACTGCAAAATAAGTGGAAATTCACATTGCCGCCACATATAGGTAGGTACCGATCTTATTTTTTGAATTTTTTTTTTTTTTTACTTTAAAGCACTATAAAAACAAAGATGTCTTGTATTGTATTATTGTATTTACTGAATCATGTGGATCAAATTTTTATGAATGCACCAGCATTATGTGTACCATCATACTCTGCAATTTATTACCGGCTGTGAAAATCGTGTTGATCATGATAATAATAAATAAAAAAATAAAATCCAAATGAAATTTTCTTAACTAGAGATTAAGTGCAAATGTTACTTAACCAAAGTGCAATTAATCATTGATTCCTTTGGGTACCACTAGAGGGAGCCTGCATACCATATTTTCAAGAAGGAGTGTTTATACAGAGTATGAATGAAAGCAGCAGTGAAGTCGAGTTGTGTGGTGCCCACCTGATCTCTGGTGCTCAAAGTGATGTTTGACGTGGTAGGCTTTCAAGCTGTACATGTAAGAACCTTTCTTGGGCGACCCGTAGTGAAGGTAGTAGTGGATCATATCGTACACGACGTAGCCGCACAGTCCCCCGACAAATATGGACATGCCCACAATATCCGGCAGCAGGTTATTGAGGATCGTGTAGAAAAATCCAACAACGACGGAGGCCAATCCGGGTGGAAAGACCAGCCGAGACCCGTCGAATGGAGACTGGGGAGACAGGTCACAGATGATTAAAAATGCAAGCGCAAGGTCAAAAAGTTGCCGGCCCTCTGACTTTGCCAGTTGGAATCAGTGTGGAGGCTACATTTATGGACCCGGACAACATATTGATATCCTGAGGTTCAATATGTAGATCTCTCTCACGTAATTTTCGACCAAAATCTTCACTCTTACTGAAATGTACCCAACTGTGCTGTGGTAAAAAGTTGGACTTTTGAACGTGATGTGAATGATGAACACTCTCATTACTGTGTCGATAAACTAAATGGTGACAATTGTCGGAAATGAACCTTATTTGCTTTCACTTAACAGAGTGATTCATGCATTCAGGTCAAAATTGGGTACCTTGTGATGCTGTCCATGCAAGAGAAAGTGTAGCATGATGAGGTAGTAGTTATGAGCTGGTGGTTTCATGTGGAAGACAAAGCGATGGATGCAGTACTCGATGAATGACCACAAGAACCAGCCAATCATGAAGAGCAGTGGGAAAGTGTACTTGTGGACCATGACAGAGAAGTCTGTGAACACAAAAAAATAATAATAATAATAAAATTAAAAAAAAAGATGAACATGTACAGTATGAGAAAAGCTAGCATGTGTCAGTATTAACGAATGCAAGGCTCAAATAAGAGATTTCCCAATGCCGTTTACAAGGTCAAATTTGCATATTGCGCCTCATCAAAACGCACTGAATAGCAAAACTGAGAATCAAACGCCGAGACAACCGTCAAAAGAAAGAAAAAGAAGAAACACGTCACACACCGTATGTCGTCGGAGTTCGAGGGAAGCTCTGTGCTACTTACGCAGACGCAGTTAGGTAGTAACATCTTCAGCTGGCTACTAGTGCAGCTGAACACGTAACAGAGTCTCTCCTAAGTCAGTTATCATCCCCGACGTGGTGGGAAAAAAAGAAGCTTCATTTCTGACAAGTGTCATGCTCATCAAGGGATGATGAGAAAAGATGGAAAAGTCATGGTTAACCTACAATTGAGACGGCTAGCGCTTTTAACACCACAATTAAGTGCTCATGTGGTCGATGACATTTTTCACAGATGTCTAGCTGGAACTGTGTTCAAACGGAGCACATCAAAGTTTGCACAGCAAGTCCCTGGGCTTAACCAATTAGAAAGTCGCTCCTCAAATGAAGTACCGGTAATTGATTTTCAAAACTGCTCCACAAAGGAAAACAAATAATTTAAGCCTTAAAATGTGTGCCATTTGAGAAACATATATGAAAACCTCTGTGCATACCTGAGGTGATGGGTATTCTGGTTGTGCCCTTTGCCAGGGTGGTGAAGCAAGACCAACTAAGATAACACACAATAGGAAGCCACACCACTGGCACCCAGTACCTGTTATGACAAAGTGTGATGTTGAGTTATAATCTGCGTATTTTTCATTGAAAAATAAAGGGGAAATGAACCTTATTTGCTTTCACTTAACAGAGTGATTCATGCATTCAGGTCAAAATTGGGTACCTTGTGATGCTGTCCATGCAAGAGAAAGTGTAGCATGATGAGGTAGTAGTTATGAGCTGGTGGTTTCATGTGGAAGACAAAGCGATGGATGCAGTACTCGATGAATGACCACAAGAACCAGCCAATCATGAAGAGCAGTGGGAAAGTGTACTTGTGGACCATGACAGAGAAGTCTGTGAACACAAAAAAATAATAATAATAATAAAATTTAAAAAAAAGATGAACATGTACAGTATGAGAAAGGCTAGCATGTGTCAGTATTAACGAATGCAAGGCTCGAATAAGAGATTACCCAATGCCGTTTACAAGGTCAAATTTGCATATTGCGCCTCATCAAAACGCACTGAATAGCAAAACTGAGAATCAAACGCCGAGACAACCGTCAAAAGAAAGAAAAAGAAGAAACACGTCACACACCGTATGTCGTCGGAGTTCGAGGGAAGCTCTGTGCTACTTACGCAGACGCAGTTAGGTAGTAACATCTTCAGCGGGCTACTAAGTGCAGCTAAACACATTACACAGTCGCTCCTAAGTCAGTTATCATCGCCGACGTGGTGGGAAAAAAAAGCTTCATTTCTGACAAGTGTCATGCTCATCAAGGGATGATGAGAAAAGATGGAAAAGTCATGGTTAACCTACAATTGAGACGGCTAGCGCTTTTAACACCACAATTAAGTGCTCATGTGGTCGATGACATTTTTCACAGATGTCTAGCTGGAACTGTGTTCAAACGGAGCACATCAAAGTTTGCACAGCAAGTCCCTGGGCTTAACCAATTAGAAAGTCGCTCCTCAAATGAAGTACCGGTAATTGATTTTCAAAACTGCTCCACAAAGGAAAACAAATAATTTAAGCCTTAAAATGTGTGCCATTTGAGAAACATATATGAAAACCTCTGTGCATACCTGAGGTGATGGGTATTCTGGTTGTGCCCTTTGCCAGGGTGGTGAAGCAAGACCAACTAAGATAACACACAATAGGAAGCCACACCACTGGCACCCAGTACCTGTTATGACAAAGTGTGATGTTGAGTTATAATCTGCGTATTTTTCATTGAAAAATAAAGGGGAAAAGGAACTAAATTAAGTTGTAGCTATTTGCATACCACCAACACACACCAGAAAAAAAAATTGTAAATCAACATGAAAGTATGAGAGATCACATTTCAGGCAAATGGTGTTTCGAAAAGGTAGTAAATTAAGTTGTAGCTGTTTGCATACCACCAACAAACACCAGAAAAAAAAAACAGAAAAAAAAAACTGTAAATCAACATGAAAGTATGAGAGATCACATTTCAGGCAAATGGTGTTTTTCAGGTGATGGATGCTTTGTTTATGAACAACCGTCCATTTTGTGTCCCACTTAAACTGCGAAGGGTCATACGTGCCGGAGTCATATCCTTGACGACTGAGCAAAAGGTGGGGTGTGCTTTACATCCTGGACTGGTCGTCAGTCAATTGCAGAGCACACCCAGAAAAACATGCTCGCATTCGCACCTATGATCAATTTTGAATCTTCAATTAACCTAATGTGCATTTTTTATGTGGCAGGAAACTGAAGACAACACACGCAAGCCCTGCTGAGTAAAGATTTCGACCCAGAACCTTTCACTGTAAGGCAACCATGCTAGTCTATGGCTCCACAATGTGGAGTATGGAAACTATATCGAGCACAGGACATCCAAACGTGATTAATTCTCATTTCAAAAGAAGTACTTCAAAGTAGGAGCTACCAGTCTTACCAGGAAGTCTTGGTGCTGGCCTCAAGGAAAGGGTTTCCAAACAGTCTGATGGGCCTGTCGACTGGCTGGTGAACCCAGGCATCATATTTCTCTCCTAAGTGGCCTACCTGCCACGCCAGGGGCTTCCTCCAGTCCACCAAATCCTGAGAGGAGCAGACCATGACAAGAGGGCGTTATGTTCCTTGGCCACCAGGAGGTGGTAGCAAAACACTAGGAATTGTTGCTTGACAAGCCCTGCGACTTTGTGTGTGGAAAGAGACATGGGTGGTCCAAACTTGTTTCATTCTAACTGATTTCCCGCTGGCAATAATCGACTGCTTTTATTCAGCTCTTTACTCATTCCACAGTCACATATGGTACGCGGCAAATAGTGATGACAACGTCCTGCTAAATGTCATTTGTGGTCGTATGCAGCGATGGCTGTTTGAAAGTGCTCTATAAATAGTTGAGTCGAGTTGAGTTTTGCAACAGCAACGGAAATGCTTGAGGTTCTCGGATTTAGCCGGCTCTGAACAGGTGTCCACAAGAACCATGACTGTTTTCAAAATGACATGTTAACATGATATCCGGAAGGAGAAAGACTCAAATCATCATTGAATAACACTTTTTGAAGGAAATAACACCATTTAGACAAAAAACCCAGAGTCCTCCAGTTCAGTGTTTTTCAAACTTTTTTGAGCCAAGGCACACTTCTTTCATTGGAAAAATCTCGCGGCACACCACTAGCTGAAAATTATTATTGTATATTATACTTATTTGAATAATTAATGTGTTATATTGTTACTATAACCGTTTTTAGCATTGAAGAATGACATTATAACAGCTTGAATTGGAATCAAATGAACACAAAGAAAAAAGTATTTTCTCATCTTTCATATTTATTGTTTCACCGTCGTCCTGCATTCTTGCTTCACAAATTCGCTTGTCTCTCGTCTAAACACAAGGCAATTGGCTAGCTGTTGCTGCTCCCTAGCGGTATGGGAGGGTACTAAACGATTACTTTCTGGGCGATAGACTGCACAGGCATACAAATTGGATATTTTCCCGCGGCACACCTGACAATGTCTTGCGACACACTGGTGTGCCGCGGCACAGGGGTTGAAAAAACACTGCTCCAGTTAATACCCTGTGACAGCACAGCTTGTTTGAAAATACACTGGAACTTGATGGATGGATGGATGCGCTACTTATACACAAAGTGCAGGAAAGCTACTTTAGTAACATGGCTACTTTCCATTTGGTTTTGAATAGATACTGTACATTTGATGGCCAACAGAAAATGGTCCAAACAGTGATGACTGACACCAATTTGGAATCAGGGAAAGAAATATTGTTGAGGAAGACAAAGGTTAAGGCTTTCATGAAACAGCAAACCCGTCTGCAGTGCATGATTTTCATTGGGCAGTTGCCATAGGGTATGCACATGACTAAGTCAATACCCCGAGGCATTATTGGAAAAAATGCTGAATGGAAATCACACATTGCAGATATAATAACATAACCATAAACATTACGAAGACGCGTTTTCTTAATTAACTTCTGAACGAATTCGACTTTATTTTGGCCAAATTCTTTTTACTTGTGCATGTACTAGTCAATACCCCATAGCATTAGGAGAAACCCCCCCCACTGTTTTAAGCATTTAGCAAACATGTATTCGTATTTGCAAGTACGTTCAAACTTTACCCTTTCCCCCTGCACTGACATCATTATACTCCTGACTATTTCAGCCACCATGGTAAATATTTACCCTGAATGACAGGAATGCCAGTCTTATGCATTTGTTCATAAGAACAATGATAACTATGCTGGGTTCCATGTCTAATATTGACAAGAGTACAAGACAAAAAGAAACGGCCTGGTTTACAGGATTACACATCTCAGTGAAATACAATGAAAGCAGAGCTAAAGAAAAGGCATGGAAGTCACCCTGCCTAATAGTATTGGGATATTGTCAGTACAGTGAACCCACTGCAATTTCTGGCGCATAACAAAAATCATCGTACAATTATAATAAATAACCCATTGAAATGCATTAGGGTTGGAAAAAAATATTTGAAAATAAATTACTTTAACCCCCCATTTCCTTCAAAAACATTCAATGGAGCCCATCCCAGCTGTCTTCGGGCTGTAGGCGGGGGACACCCTGAACTGGTTGCCAACCAATCGCAGGGCACACAGAGACAAACAACCATTCAGGAATCAAACCCCGCACCGATGCCCTGTGAGGTGGACATGCTATCCAGTCGACCACCATGCCGCCTGGTCAAAATGATAAATACTTTAAATGAACACTCCCTGCATTGTGTGCTCTGAATAACTAAAGATAGTTCACTCACCCCTTTGTTTGCAAGAGATATATGTCGTGGTACTCCATTGTTTTATACTGGTTCACAGTACTGCAGGTACAGAACCAGTGTTGGGAATAAGGCGTTTAGTAACACCTTACAGTAACAGATTCCATTTTCAACAGTAAAAAGTATTATAACAAGTTATTCATCATATTTAAGGAATATTATTAGTTATTGAGTCCCATACTGTGTTACAAGTTTGGGACCACAAGGCAAAATAAATCACCTAACATTATTAATAAAGAAATGCGATATTTTAGTTCCAACCTAAGTTTCTTAATCATGGAATTACTTGATGCAGTATTTCTTACATGCCTAAAGCGGCCATGCAGCAAAGATGTGTGCTATTTGAATTTATATGACAGTTTGCAGTTCACATAGCTGACAAGTCATTGTTTGAGACCAATCACTGTCAGGGTTTTATGAATTAAAATTGAAAGCATATTCAAAATGCAAGCAGGAAAAAAAACTGTTGAATGTCAAAAAGTAAGAGTCAATGTGCCTTTTTAGATATTATTTGAATGAATTAATGTGCCATCAATTGCAGTACACCAAATGCAAATCCGTTTGACTCTGAGCGGAAGACGTCCGGTGGCTGATGATGTCACACTATGACAACTCCAATCGGACAAACTAAATTATGCGCCACATTAATCAAGAGTGATGTTCCATTTTTTTAGTCCAAATAAACCTCGAACCCTTGTGTAATAAAGATAATTCAAACTGAACTTAGATTAGTCGCTGATGGTGGAGTGGTACACACGCCGGACTTGTGCGCGGGCAGCGTGGGATTGATTCCCACTCAGTGACGGTGTGAATGTGGGTGTGGTATGTTCTCTATGTGTGCCCTGCGACAGACTGGTGACCAGTTCAGGGTATAGTCCGCCTTCTGCCCGTAGTCAGCTGGAATAGGCTCCAGCAACTCTCTGTGACCCTGTTCAGGATCAGCGCTGGTGAAAATGGATGGATGGATGAAGATAGATGTTCCTTTTTGGTATTTTTTTTTTTTAATGAAACGGGAAAAATATGAACTCAAGTTGGATCTCTCCTCTCTTTATCAACAGATATTTTGCTATTATTACACTCTGCACTCAAGTTGGATCTCTCTTTATCAACAGATATTTTGCTATTATTACACTTGCTCTATCTATCTATCTATCTATCTATCTATCTATCTATCTATCTATCTATCTATCTGTGTAAATTAATTTGACTAGGTGGAAAATTTCATTTATAGTGTACAGTCTGGGGATTGTTTATTTACTGGCCAAATATCAGTTCCAATATTTGCATTAAAGAATACATCGACTTTTGATTCAAATATGAATCAAAAGCAGTGATCTCCCACCGTTGAGTCAAAACATGTAAAATTGTAGCCAACACTATATATGTAAAGATCCTCATTACAATTAAACTTTACTAGATACAGTATGGTTGCTAATTTTGCATATTGCTTTTAAAATGTGAAAATTAAATGACTAATTAAATTAATGCACCATTTAAAATAAGAAAACTTGAGTTGTGAAGTTTGGAAATGATCCAATTTCACTTCATTCAAAATAATAGTGGATGACAAACAAATGTATCTTTGTTTGACTTTCATGCCAGCAATAAACAGTGAAAGGCGGACAATTACATTCTCTTCCACTGTTTGGCAGACGGTACACGTATGACATTTTAGTTTGTTGGTGTGCCATGACATTTTTTTTAAAATGTCAAATAATATGTGCCTTGGCTTAGTAAAGGTTGGGAAACACAAAGGTAGAGAGACAGTGCCACAGACTTCAGAGTGTACAAAAAACAAACGGGGCTAGTTATGGAGAAAGGCAAGGTGAATGACCTGATGACCATTTACCCTTTGTCCACTAAAATGCACTCCGTCACTGGCCACTTTGTACAACTTCATGCAGTTCGGGTTATATTAAAAACATCGGTTGGAAGGTGAAGTCATCTAGTTTATGTTGCAACAGTAAGATATTACTTTTTTGTTCATTTTCAGGAGAGCTAGCCATCAGGTCAAGAGACATTCATTCATGGGACATCATGAAAAATGGAAAACATAAAATCGTTTTCATACGTTTTCGAGGTCCACACAGCTGCAGAGATTGTATGGGGCATTCTGGTCGTCATCTTTCTGCGTTACTTGCGTTGTTTTTTCTTCTGTCTGTTTAGTGGAGTTCCTCCTCTCCCTCAGATTCTGGAGAAAATCAAGAAAAAGAACAAAAGATGATGAACGGAAAGTTAAAATAAGAAAAAAAAAGTAGCCGTCGGGAACTGTCCAAAAACACATTCGGTTTTGCAGCAAGTCATTACAGAGATGGTCAACTGAACATTTCATAATTCTTTCTCATCTGTCCACTTGTGATGCAAAATACGTACATCCCAACTGTCCTTCATTCTTCCCTGTGCCATAGTCTGTATGATATCGAGTGGAGATGACTGACGCCTATCCCAGCAGACTTCGTGCGAAAGATGGACTACCCCCCCTCCCCACCATGCCCCCAACTGGTTCACCAGGGCACACATATCCATATCCACACCATCACTGAGCGGGAACGGATCCCACACTGCCCGCACACAAGTCGGGCGAGCGTACCACTACATCCTCAGCGACGTGACCAAGATGTACGCTCGTCAAAACTAGCCCTTTCTGGGGTGCACATTAGTGTCATCATCGAAGAGAAGTAAATTATTGAGACTATACATTGTAAAATTGGTTGAATTATGATGCGGAGTAGAACGGTCTGAGACGTCTCCCCATTTGGGGTATGCTGAGGTCCCATGACCTTTTGGCCATTATTGCGACTTTGAATTTCACCTTGCGGACCACATCGCCGGCCCAGTGATCGACTGGTTAGCGTGTCGGGCTCACAGTGCAGAGGTGTAGGGTTAGATTCTGGCTCCGGCCTTCCTGTGTCGCCGGGAACCAATCATGTGCCTTGAATGAGTGCCCATTGCACGTAAAATATGGGCAGGTACAAAACCTCTGAGTCATTCGGCATTTTTTTCTGAATACAGTGCTTTGGAAAAAAAACGCGATGTGCTGAAGCTGTGATAAATGAAACGCGATATTGCGAGGGATCACTGTCGTGCATCAAGCCAGTATATTTTGCCAAGCTTCCTATGACATACATGGATGCCTTAAAAGAAGTTTTGCTCATAAGATCCGAGGAACTGGGGATAAAACTCTCCTGTTTAATGTGGGGGGGATTGTCAAAGTCATTTCCGGTCAGACTTTTACTGAATTTCAATATCCTGTAAATCAGTGACAACGGGCGCTGTGACTCTCAACATAGTGAGAACCCATAGCAACACGTGAGGAGTGATTGGACAAGTCACCGGCATCTTTGTGAAATGTTGTTTTCTTTAAAAAAAAAAAAGAAACAGTCCTTTAAGTGCTTAACAACAACAAAACCCACCATAAAAGATACAGTACATTTATCAGAAGATAATCTAAAGTAACACGCTCGATTCTCCTGCCCACACTGCTCTCTTCATGAACGTTCAGTCCTGTGCGGCATGCAGCTCTGTCTCAGGCCTGAGGATTTCAGAAATTAACAGAAACAGTTTTTCGGTCCCGTTAGATTACCCAATGGGAAACCAATGTAACTAATTTTGGGTTCTGTAAACGTTCATTATGGGAACCCATTTTTCTACTTTGACTGATATTCATAATCAAGAATTCTGATCCTCAAAAGTATAAAATTTAAAATGTAAATGTTTGAAAACTATGCATTAATAATGAACATAATTACATCAGCAGCTGTGTACTCCAGGTTTACTCAATAAAATAAATGGATCAAAATATGTTGTTTAACACTTTTATTGTACTCATATGACATCATGACTACAGCATACCACAAAATCTGGCTCTATACCATGGGCCACAAGTAAATCTGACACTGTTAAGATGATTATGTGTGTGTACTATTTATGTAAATAAACTTAATATCAATGGCTACTCACCCCTTTCTTAATACAAAAGCATGTACAGTATTAGGAATTGAATGATTAAAATCGTGTGATTTATCTTTTTTTAAAATGACCTTATTACTACATATAGACTTATAGTATTGACATGGCTTGACGTCCTCTTTGCAACCCCAAGACAATGCACTGTGTAATCGACTATCAATTTGACCAAAGAACCTACCACAAGTTATTGTTTGGCCTAGGGACAGTTAACATTAGTATTACTAAACCTTGTGACAAATTTTTATTTCATTCATAAAATTACCATGTCTACAACAAGTAAATTATAGAATAACTAAGAATGTTTCATAATATTTTTCAGCGCGATTAGCTTTTAGATCTAATGACCAACTTCAAGTACTTGCCTCCTAATCATCCCTCCCGTCGTATTTCTCTTTCGTGTTTTTTGCATACATCACACGTCAGCTTGGTAATATACGCCCTTCTTCGGAAGATTCGAAAGTAAAAAGCGACTGGCAATCCCATTTCTTAAATGTAGGAACTAAAAGACCTTTCAGTATTTTTTTTCCACCATCTCTATACATCATCCACGCGCTTTCTCAGCGTGCAGACTAAAATAATGTTTCCTGCCCTCAGGCCTGCTGTCTTGTTTTTTTCCCTCATGAGGGTTAAACAAAGATGGTGGCATGCCCGGTGAAGGCGGTATCCTTGGTCATATGTCTCATACATTTTTGGGGTGGGTACTACCGAGCACCGATTCATGTGAAATCAAATTGTGCCACGTTTTGGTTCTGGAGCGTGGCTTTCTAAGTTACGACTGTGCAAGAGTAGAAGAGTTGAGCTTGAATGGTATTTACACGCAGAGTATTCAACTCTTGAGTACTCACGGAACAATATCAAGTAACTGATGCACTAGTACTTTTCTCAACTAAAATTCCAACTAACACGACATGAGATCATTTTGAAGAAAGACCTTTGATTTCTGACAAAAGTCAGAACAGTCACTCTCCAGAGTTACGATCATTTCATTAGACAACATTTTTAAAAGGTCACTTGAAGTCATATTCAGGTGACAGTGTCCAGTTCGACCTTGCAGCCAAGTATTAGTCATTGGTTAAGCAGATGGAGGGAGTTCAGTCACTAATTGTTGGTTGGCATCCAACGAGGGCTTATGCACACTCTTCAGTTGTGAGGCAACAAGTGAAACCACACACATGGGTGGCCCATTGTCACATTAGCAATGACGCCAATCATTGTATTACGTTTCTTACTCTGTTCTTACCTATCAAAGGTTTCATTTAGATTTTTGTTTAACCTTGACTGCATTCCTCTCTGTGTGTGCGTGCGTGCGTGCGTGCGTGCGTGCGTGCGTGTGTGTGTGCGCGTGCGTGTGCGAGTGCGTGTGCGAGTGTGTGTGTGTGTGATGTTTAGTTAATAAGTGACTAACAAATGAACACCACATACGGGTTTACTTTTTAACATGTAAGTAGTTTTGTACTTGAGGGGGGAAAAAAAATAATGAATAATCTTGATTGATAATGTTACAGTCGACAATAATGTCAATGAGAAGGATTTTTGCGGGATGTGGTGGGTGAAGGCAGAAACCACACTGGGTTTCTGTGTCCGAGCAGTCGATTTATAAAAGAAAACAAAGGAGCTAGTTACTGTCGAAGAGTTTGGTGATGAGACCTCGTACTATCGCAACACTGACACTGCAATGGGCCACCAAGGGCAGAGGGGGGAATGGGGGTGATTTAGATGGATTATTTTAATTAATGAGTCATGGAAAAGGAAACAGTGTCACGAAATGATTCTCAGCACAACTGATTTTACACTATATGTCTGAGACCACCACTCAAGGTTTCTGCCACAGCTGCCCTAATTTGACAGGATTGGTAAACATCTTTTTCATGTTTCTGTAATAGCTAACACACCATTGTGTAAAGACTCTTCAGATTAAATATTTTTATGCTATAAGATAACTTTCACTTTGAAAACTGTTTTGGATGTAAAGTCTAAATAAAAGAAACTGCTTTACAACTACTTGATTAAGATTGCAAATGTTGATTATTTAGGTACCAGCATTCCTGAACACTAACATGTGTAAGTGGAATACAGTATATCAAACTTTTGTACCGTAGTACCTGCACCTATGAAATTAATTGGTTCTGGAAGAAATTTCTTAACTAGAAAATTTTCTTAAGTAGAGACGTGTTTTCCAGGTAAATGCCCTAATTTGTTCCAAGGCCCCCTCCCCCCTCGCCCACCAACAATTCAGACATAAATGTATTAAAAGCATAAAAATGCATCAAAATATGTAACAAATACATGTTACAATTAGATAATTGCACAATAAATGAGAGTTGTTCATAATGTAAAAAACAAAGAGTAAAGAATAAAAATGATGGTCTTTTAGCTTTTAACTGTGTCCTCATTGTTTTTTGCCCTCTTTAGTTCATGTCCTTCCTCAGAAGTGTTTTTACCTGGCGTTTTGTAAAGAACTGATCCAAGGACGTTTGCTTTTGTCGGCTTTTAAAAATCCTTCGAAAATCTCCAAGGCAAACATCAGCATACTGAGTGATCGCCAGACTGGTGAGCACTTTTTCTGGGTGATTCGCATTTTGGTAAATCAGAGTGCCTCATGGCATGAGGGGCGTCCGACGAGGACGCTGCATAGACACACATTTATCAATCTACACAGAGACACATACGGTAGAAGTCCCTCTTAGCCATTGGGATGCCAAGATGATGCTCGGTAAGAGCCAATGGCAGAGCAGCTATAAGTATGTTGCATTCAAGAAACTCGGAGCTGCGACTAGCAGGCCATACTATATTTTTCCCTTTCGTGTCTTGAAATTTCTTTTGTAACAAGAGGCAATATTTTCCTGTTGAGACGTTTCGTAACTTGAAAATTTCATATGAAGAGACGTTTGTAGAGGTACTACTGTATTTTGTTTTATCAAGACTACGGTTTTGTAACATTAAGTTTGGGTGGGTGGAGTCTGGCCGCACATAATGGCCAAACTTTTGAATAATCAACAAAACACACAGAAGGAGGTGTAGGAGGGGGTGGGGGGGTCTTTCTGTTTGCCCATCACCACTACTGTGAAATTTAATACAAGTTTCTGCCATTTGAAAAAAAAAAAAAAAGCCACAATTAAATTGTTCATTTGTACATCTCTGTAGTGGCCGTAACAATGTGAAAATTCAATAATAAAATAATAATGATAAAGCAAACATTTCATGCAGGACCATGCTGTAATC